CTTTCGGTTGCCCTGTACTGCATAGTATCATATATAATGGGAAGTACTTGAAATGGAATGTATTTTAAAAACAGGCTTAAAGTAATCTTACGGGTAATTACATTCTAATTCATGCCTGTTTTAAAATTGTGCCCAGTGTACATTGCAAGAAATATTTAGTTACTGATAATCCCTCAAATTTAAAGAAGCACATGGTAACAGTGGAGGAAAACAACCCTATTTAACCACGAGATATGCATAAACCCAATCTTTAATAAACATTTGTGTTTTGAAAAATCAGATCTTAAAAAGCTTCTTCAAAGGCCAAATTCCACTTTGCAAGAACTAGTTGACAGACAAGGGTGCAATTTTAAGGCTAAAAAAGAAAACAATCATGGCTGACTGTGAAATTTGTGTTTATTTCAACAAGCTGTTCTCCAGTCAAGTGAAAAGAATTGTTTCTGATATTTATCCAGCTATTGTAAATATCATTGACAGTTTGGATGACACAAATTAATCAGCAGTTGTTTCAACATCAAAGGAATAGTTCAGACTTTTTTAAAGAGGTTTACTATCTCCATTAATTTTTGCATGTTACCCTTTTAAGTTAATCCTAACTCATAAAGTTAAATTTCTTCTCCTTTACAAGCCAGATATTTTAGATGAGTACATTTCCATTTCATTTAATCATATGCTGACACTTCATAACCTACATCTGCCTACCACAGAAATTTGAAGACGACAAGTAATTTTGAGCCAGGCCTCTCTTGACCTTGGTGCTTGACCTTATATGAAGTGATTATCCTGTAAGTTGTCAGCCTGCATCACCTGTCTCTGAGACTCTGCGGCCCTCTTGTCACAGGGCTGGCGCTCTTAGCTATCAGACTGGATCCCTGTTGGAGAGGGAGGTCGAGTGTAAGACTTTGGCTCACTTTTAAGACACTTCCATATGCAAGCTACTGTGTGCTTGTAAAGTTCTTTAGACTGTCATAGAAACATGGAGTCTCATGTGCTTGGGTGGGTAAATTATTATCTGTTTACAATTCTGATGGTGTCATGTGAGAGCTGCCACCTTTAGCTGGCTTGCAGTACTGGAACATGAAACCCACGCACATTAAATTTAAGACACACACACTCACACATGTACATGAATTTTTTGCAGCCCAGTTTATACTTGCACCCTTCCACTATTGGCTGCTAAAGTGCACCTTGGAAAACATTTGACAGATATAGCTTAGCGCTTTAAATATAGAAAGGGGTACACCCGATGAAAAACTACAGAGCTATTTAAGAGAAAACATAGACATCACATCTGTCACATGCTGTACTGCGAATAGAATTCCAGTTGATAACAAGTATGACTCATTTATGCTTCCTCTCACTCATATTATTCATAAACTATAAACTAATGATAATCATTACAGTAATAGCAAGAACTCATGTTGGGTTTTGATTTTTTTTTTTATAAATAAAACTTACCCTTTCAGAGGGAGAAGGATTGGGGTAGAAGGTGGTGGATGGGCTGTTAACAGCTGAATAACTGGGTCAGTTTAAGATCACTGTGTTTGCTATCTCGTCAGCTCATCGCTGAGTGTTCACTGTTATCTGCTCAGCTTTTCAACAACCTTTCAATTCTCAGCCCATTTCCAGCCCTCCATCCCTACCCTTTTTGCTTCTACCGCTGAAGTAGAAGCTTATCTCCAAGGAAATGTTAAATCACTCTGAATGCACCAGAATGTAATATCTTAAAGCAGGGGTTTTCAAAGTGTGGGACAATCTGCCTCCACTTAAAGAGCAAATCAACAACTGCACCACCCAAGCTAAATTATTTCCTGTTTTCTTTTTTCCACAATTATTGTATTCATTCTTTTTTGCTCATTTGTTTCTTTTTATATATAAATATATATATGTGTATATATAAGTATATGTATATGCATGTATGTGTGTTTGTGTGCATTTCTATGTGTGTGTGTGTGTGTAGCAAAAGCATGGATTTCCTTCTCAATGTCAGGGGTATATAAAATGGTCAGATGTGGTTAAAATATGATTTGACCACAGAGTCGATCTGAAATTTAAATTATTGCTCAATATCTAACATATAGCAGAAGGCAACATCTTAGTTTTCAGATAATATAATTTCAATAATTCAAAAGCTGTGTTTATCTCAGGTTGTTTTGTTTAACTCCATCTACTCTGCAATTTATCTACCAACCTATGTTTGACAAAATGCATCAGTCACTTTGAGTGGAATTTTGTTTTCCTTATTCTAATAGATAAAGTATAATTTTTAACATGGGTTTCTGGAAAATGTATTATTGCAGGTTCCTCTGTTGCTTGACTTTTAAACTGCTTTTATGCAGTTTGAATCAATGTCCTCTTCATATTTTAGTTGATTCATTCAGAATATGAGACCTACTAACTGCCCTATTGACTGTCTTCCTTTTAAATCAATGACAGAGATTTGTCCTGCTGTTATTCTTGTTCTTGTAACTTCTATGAATGTATGTCTCAGATCAGGAGCTGGGCCAAGTACTTTCAAACAGGCTGTTGTTAAGCCTCTTGTCAAAACTTCCCATGACTCATCATTTACCAAGGTTTTAAAAATGTTGAAATGTTAAAAATGTTGGAAATTTTTGTCTTAAACAGGTGGAAATAGAGGTGGAAATTTCATTAGGAAGACATGAGATCATTTTTAGGTACAATATTATGTTTCATAGGTTAATTCAAACAATCAGAGACTGTAATTCTATGTTCACACCATGATTTAAGCAGCAAAAAAGCGCTTACTCCTTAATTTTTAATGCTTGTACACATTAATGTCAGATATGCCTCAAGAGCATCTTTGATGCCCCTTAAGCGCGTCCAATAAAGTGTCCAGCTGTGTCCAATGGCAGAGAGTGGCTTTGCTATATTTGCTGTGATCAGAATATATATTTTTCATATATTCTTAAGCAAGAAATGTCCACCTCAAATTATTGTCTGTGCAGCTTGTTCATCAAGATTACAATCCTGCCTTGAAATAATATTTTGCTGGCGGAGCCTCTCAGACCCCCACATTTTGCCAGCATCAGCTGCCTCAGGCCCGGTCACCTCTTGGGGGATTTTCCACTTTGTTTGTGGCAGCTAGAGGTAGAAGGTTAGTGTTTTTAAGCTATGTGGTACAAACTGCTGGCACCAGGATAAGAAAAGTGAATATATTTTGCCGGCAGGTTCCAACATTTTTAATTAATTTAGGCGTTAATAAACAGTTTCAGTGGAGTGATCATAGTGCTCTGCATCAGCACCGCTGTCCGTCTCCCTGTCAGCTCCCAGATCAGCTTCTCTGATTGGTTTATGTGGCGCGTCGAGCAACAAAAATTTTATTTTTCCAACTCCAGCATCTGCTTCTCTTGAAATTTTTAAAATTTAAGCGAAATTTCTAGGAGAAAAGCAGGGCGTACAATTTGCCTTTTTTTTTAGTAAAGGGCATACAGTGTTCGTCTGTACGCATTGCTAGGTAAAAGCCTGGGTGGGGTTCATCAAGTACCTAGTCCATTACACAGCAATACATACAACCATGCACACACACATACACTACTCACCTAACAGCAATTTAGAGTTACCAATAAACCTAAAAGTCATGTTATTGAGAGAAAGCAGAAGTACCCAGAGAGAGCCCACGCACACAAGGGGAGAAGATACCAACAACATGTCATAGAAAGACCCTAGGCTGGGATTTGAAGCTAGGTCTTTCTTGCTGCAAGGCAGCGGTGCTACAAACTGCACCACTGTGCTACCGACAATTATAAACCTCATAGAAAAAAAATAGTATCTATGAAAAAAAATTGTTGTACTTGTCATGCATGAGTCTTCCTTTTGTGAAGCATTATTGATGTCTTTGGTTCAAAAGGTTACTCTTTTAGGGATAACAATGTTCCTTGAGTTGCTGCTGTCCTCAGTTCAAGTGGTAAATTATGAAACATTCAGTAGGACTGTTGGTGTATATTTAATACATCAGCTACAATGCATTGGATAAATACAAAGAAACACCACATGAAAGTAATCAAGCTCCATCATCAATAATGGATGACCCAATCAAAGGGGACAGTGAGCTTCTTTTGTGAGACGGCTGAATGGGAGGAAAGACCGCTGGGGAGGAACCATTATGCATCGCTCCACTGGTCAGCTGTTGCGAAGATGATGATTACTATGGTTGCAATGATGCTGGTGATGTGAAAGCTCATTTTGCCAAAAGGGTTTTGCTGGATGGGGTTCCTGCACACATTACTATTAGAACTAAAGAAAACCTGAATATTCACAATGATTTTTTTGTGTGTTTACAGGAGGCAGGATTGATGATGATTAAAGATGATAAAAATGTTAGCCTTTTTTTCTTGCAGTGTTCCAACTTTAGTGAAATTATTAAAAGAAGCTTATTGTATGTTTACATTTTTGTGAGGAAAGTTTGTCCCATTAGCATTGGTGTCAAGTTGGTAGATATTTTAAAAATGTAAGTTCACTCCAATTGTTTTCAGTAAAATAAGTAATATAAAAAAAATATCAATACTCTCTGTTAACTCTGCACCTTACTTGAACTTGTTAGAAGAGCTTTAGCTTCACACCAATCCCTATCCTTCACTATTTTCTGTTTAAGTCAGTTTAGGAGCTTCTGGTCGTGTAGTATTATATAACAACTATGCAAACACATTGAATTGGACACCTCTGGACCAACTACAGTCATGTGTCCCTTTTTGATTGTGTTAATGTCACTGTGTTCAATAGGCTGTAATTCCTGAGAGATAGGGAGCATTCATTATTAAGTGCATGCTTTATGAAAATGTCTAAGGTCTCATAGCCGACAGGAGGCAATGCAGGAGGTAATGCACTGTTTAATTACAATGGCTGTAACTATTATTGTGGATTGTTTTCACTGCAGCTGAACACAGCTCATGCTTTACTGTTCAGTACATTAATCAGCATAGTTGTAAGACTTATGCCACTCAGTTCACTAACTAATCTTATTTCTTCCTTTCTCTCCTCAGGTGGTGTTAGTCTTTGCACTCAGCATTGGAGCCCTCGGAATATACTTCATAGACTCCTCAGAGTAAGTAGCTCCAAGAGCCATGGTAGCACTTATAAAGTATTCTTATCTCAGCCCATTTAATAGTAATAATTTAACATAATATGTCTTAGGCATGGCTTTAAGTTTGTGCTGAAAAGTCAATGTACATATTCACCACTGAGAGGATGCTATCTTTCTGGATGCAGACATAAACCCATCTGCATTTGAGGTTTTGTCAATGGGAGGCCTATCAGTTTCCATGGCAGCAGAGATACTCGGTGTGTATGTTGCGAATGCGGCTCTGTGTGGGACTCTTGATGTTGTCAGTTTATGTGAAACACTTGCTGGCATTCACCCAGAGACAGATTGCAGGGCTGGCTTCTCTCCCTTACACATTGCAGCTAGTTTTACTACATATTGACCAATTTTTATACCATTAAAGTGATTGTTGGGATTTTAGGATTTTCTCTGTCTGTCTATGGTATTATTCACCTCCATGGTGTGTATCACTGCGTAAAGAGTAAGGATGTTACAGAATAATGTTAAATGCAGCAGCCACTCAAAACATTTTACTCATCTTTACTCGTTTTAATCGCTAGTGAACGAAGAGGTAGAGTGACTCTGTAATTGCTCCTACTGAAGCCACTTGAGTTAGCTGACTGAAGGATGGAGGAAATACAACCTCTGTCGACGCAGTCATAGTGTTATGAATATATTTCTATACAAATGCGTAAAAAATATTCATACCAGGGAATCTTTTTACCTTTTTTGACATCAAAACAACACCCAATGCCTTTTCTTGCAATCTAATTAGAGAGATCAACGAAAGTGGTACATGAGTTTTCCTTTTTTACTACCGTAATTAAGGCTTACTAACTGAGGCTTAAGAGGTTTGCTAATGTTAGTTAACAAACAGTATCACGAATATCAAGGAACAGCATGCAGGTATTACATTAATTTAGGGAGGAGTTTAAAGCAGATCTACAGTTACTTAGAATACATCTTCAACCTTAAAAAAACACCACATTAACCTAAATGCCCTAAACCAAGTCTAAAAAAAAGCCACAACAATATCATGCTGTTGAGATCCAATTTTGTGAATAAAAAAGATGCTCAAGGACATTGTATTCTCAGTCTCTATAAGCTGGAGCTATAATTTGCAATAGAGTTGACACTGATTCTAATCTGTAGATATTCAAAGCTGACCGGGCTGTACATTAAAAAAATCAGTTGTAACACAAATGGTTTTATGACGTCCTGAGGGATACTTTTCTTTCCCCTTTACAATTATGTACCACTTGGTTGTTCTATTTATAAAACCCCAACACTAAATCTATGCATCAAAATAAAACTCTCAACAAAGTATTTATGCTGAAATACAACAATTAATTTGCAAGCCAGTATAAATGAACACTAAATAGGTACTATAAAAAACTTTAGTTCATGCAGTATTAGTATAATGAGGGTATTTTGCCTTTGTGCGAATATTGTCCTATGATGTAACAAGATTATCCTCTCTTCTAATACTAAAAAAATATAATTTTTTCCTATCCTTATTTTAAAGTTTATAAAATATGTATGAACATTTCCCCTTTTTTTTTTAAGAAACTGTAAGAAAAGAAGAGATGAATATATGTCAACCTTAGTTATGAACCTTATGTCCTCTACTTGTGCTGAATTTCTCATCTTCTCCATGCATGGATGTGTCCTTGTTTAACATGTACTAAAAACATCCCTCATCTTTATATATAGAAAATGTAAGATGTAATGTATATAAGAAATGTTATAACTGAATCTGGTTGGCATGTTTGACATCTTCCTTTTGTACCTAATATTTATTTTTTTATGATAAAATCTTCTATTTACAAAACAAAAAAAAAATATATAAATACAAATTACATAAACATCATCAAAAAACATCAGCCAGCCATTTAGATCTGAATCAGTTTGGTTTCAGATATATATGAAAAATATGACTAGCTGTACTTTAAAATAAATTTTAGTTGTTTTAGTATAGGTTTCGTATAGTATAGGATTTAGTATAGCGTTTGCTGTAAAGTCAGCGACACAATGCATGCAAATATCACCACATGTTCATTCACCAGAAGGAAATCATGCAAAATAAATTGAATTCAATGTATTTTCTTTGAGTGGAGTTATCCTACTTTTTTCTTTATTTAAATGACCTTAAATAATAGATTAACACTAGGTCTATAACAATGCTCATCCTTTTTTTGTCATCAAAATTGTTTTTCTGTTAGATACTTTTCAGGCTGTTTTAAGGGGAAAGTCATATAGAGATCTTGTGGTTTTATTTCACTTTAATTTAGATTCTTTTAGCTGTGAAATTATGTCCCGGAGGAAAGTAAGTCTAAAGTGCAGAGAGATAATGTGTAAAATCTGCTGAAGTAATTCTAAATTACAATTCAGCAGGTTCAGTCTTATCTCTCAGTACCAGTGGAAAATTATTCCTAGCATGAATATAGACTCTCTTATTACTGTAGGATAAAAACCTTTGGCTCTTTTTGTCCTCTGCTGTGGATCTGCTTTTATTGTCCTTTTCTGTGCTGTTTCTTTCTAAGCAAATCATTGCATATTGGGAAGGTTTTTTTTCTCCAAGTACTCCTAATGAATAATTAGTAATCATTTTAACATGCAAGTGAAAAAATAAAACCAACTTTAATAAAACCACAGATATTTAAAAATAATGAAAGGCAAAATTCAGAACTGATAAAACTACAGAACTGAACTGTAGTTTTATTTAAAGAGGGCTGTGAACAATCTGTCAGCTTGGCAATTCTACCTGAAAGAGAAGCACAAATATATATGAAAAAGAATGGATGATTGGGAAAAAAAACCAAGAAAAATAAATATTACATAATATTTAACACAGAGCTGTGAGCATAGTTAGAATAAAGCTTTGATTTTAGTCTTTAATGTTTCCTCTTTGGTTCTAGATTGTTACAAAGTCTATTTCTGTGTTATTGGGCTTCCCAGAGGCACTGTCCTGGTCTCTTATGTTCCCATTAAGACAAGGCTCATCAGAGTGATTAGCTCAAGCTTGTTACTAGGATGTGCACGTGCTTTTCTGTTGGGGACTACTGACCCATTCAGAGCAGCTTTAGCCCACCCTTGGGGTTTTGGACATCTTACAAATGCTAAAGCATGTGTTATAGCTTTGCTTTCAGCACAGCAGCTAAAGTTCTTATTGTGCTTGACTATGCAAAGATTAAAAACCAAGCAATAACTAATTAATGCATAAAAAAGCCTGATGTCTGTGATGTAGACAATCAAATAAAAGGTTGGTTAGTTGTAAATAAGAGAATAATGTTTAACACATTTTCTCTTCTTACTCACACACAGATGACCTTCTCCCTCACCCAGCCTCCTTTGCTATTAAATGTTAATGACTTAGCAATCAATAGGCACGGATTTATAGGTTGCTACTTTAATGGAAGCAATTATTCTCCCAAATACCAAAGGTGGACAAACTCTTGGACCAAGCTGCCTCCAATGGTTTGCTCTCCATCCAATTCGTCTATTCTGAGCAACGGATTAAGTGCAAAACATTCTAAAATTAGCTATAAAAAAGCAACATTAATGGGAGGGATTATGGTTCTTTCCCTGTGTTTATACGCTGTGGAAAATGACATTTGGGGGAGTGGGTTGGATCTCGGCAGTCTGGAGATGGCCTTTTATTAAATGTTTCTTATTGAAGCACAGCACAACAAGTCTCCCTAATGTGTTGCTCCCATCTTTCTGCAGGTGGGCCTCTTCTGGTTGTTGAAAAAAAAAAAACTTCTGTCAAAACACATAGTCATATTGTAAAGGAATGGAATTTCAACTTTTAAGCTAAAATATTATAATAAATAAGTTTCCTTCTGTTTGATTTCACAAAGCGGTTATTTATCACTCTAAACTGCCTGCTCAGTTCCTCTGCAGTACACTCTGCTTGCCAAACGGATTCTATTTTCACAGTGTTTTCAATGGGAGGCTAGTGCATCCTCTCCCACTCACATCTGAATCTGCTTTAATACCTTGGCTCATCCTTTATCCTCCATCCCTTCTCTTTTTCTTCATTTTGCTCCCATGAAACAAAGAGGAATGTAGGACAAAGTCTCTGCAGGCTGCTCCTAAAGGGATGCCCTTGTTCCTGTTCCACTTCAATTTCTATTTCTCTCTCCTCTCAATCTCACTGTACCACACATGCAGACTCATGTATGTGTATGTTTGTGCACAGTCACTTTAAATGGAAAGAGGAATTGTGTAATTTATTCGAGTGTCAAATATGCCTCTGAGGCAGCATCTCAGAGCTGTAACTCTACCAGTAGTGTGAGATCAATGACAGCTCTAAAAAAGAAACAGTCCTTAATGACTAATTAATGGCTTAAGGTGAGAAATATGGCAGAGGAGCAAGGCGTGCTTGGTATTTACGATAAATGGCAGCCAAGAACAGGACCTTTCTGTTTTGGGTGGTGTAATATGTGTTGTTTGTGATTTTTAAATAGAAGACATATATTAAGTGGATGATTTTCTAAAATTGTAACAAACTGATTAGATTTCATTTTATCTCTGAACGGGTTGTTTTCTCCCTTTGGCCATGTGATCTAATATACTGGTTAGGTTTCATATATTCACAAATAATTTACCATCTTATTGTCTTAATATTAGTTGCCTTATTAATTAAAGCCTCTGCCCTCCCAAAGTGCCAGATGTTGTGCCAGCTGTTTTTAAAGAATACTGAACAGTTATGTAATTTGTTATTTCACTGTAAAGTCCTTGAAAACCTGCTTAAAACATTAGTTTTAAATGATCCATCTTCAAAAACGTATTTCTGGATAAAAATAACAAAAAACCCACAAGATTAATGTTCATTGTTTCACATTCACACAAATTGCAGCGTACTCTTTCAGAGGAATTCTGTCTTACAAAATGTCAGGTGAAAACCGTAATTGTGAGGTGAGTGTGTAAATATACGTCTGGTTGACTGGCTTCTATACAGCATTTTAGCGTAAGGAAAGTACCCCTGTATTGCATTAAAA